AATTAAAAGCTTTTTACATAAGAAAAATTGTGCGAGTGGCTCTAAATCTAAACCACAAAGATAGAATTGCAAGTTGTCGTCTACTAACACACAGCAACAGTTTTGACAGACTACACGCAAAAGTTTGCGTGAAAACAAAAAATTTCACCTTACCTAGCTACTGATCAGAAAAACTGATCAGAGACATAAGATGACGAATTCAGAATAACAAAATGCAAAATTACCTTGTAAAACGCTTGGTGCAATGCTGCCAATCGCATGCGAAAGGTTTGTTACCGGCGTGTCCACGCAGATGAGCCCTGCGATAAAAAAAATTATCTTCCGCTCGGAAACTTTACGAGCTGGCGTTCAGTACAACCAAGCACAAACCCACCTTAAATGTGATGTCTTTCCATAAGTTTTTTGGCAAATGTGGCAGATGTGAAGTCGTTGTTTGCCATCACCGCTAAAAATAGTACAATATAAACCAGTCACAAAACTAGCTGTAAACACTCACGATCTCGGGGTACTGGCGTTTTGGCAGTTTGGACAGGTACATGCACATCGTCTCGGTACTTGACTCTGGAAAAGCACAACCAATTTTGAACAATCATTAGGAAAATGTTAGAGATTTTCAAGCATCACAGCATGATATCGAAATTTCACACAAGTCACGAGCTAGCGGAGACCGTGACCTCAAAAAGAGCTTTCACGAAAAATAAAAGAAAAATTACATCATCAATCCCCATTTCGTATTCTCCGGCCATCATGTTTGGCGAATCACCACCGCCGGTCATTCTGGATGACTGATTGTTGGAATGGTTCGATGGCTGACTTGGTGTTGTGGCAGCAGAATCATTTGTAATGATCCATTTCTGTGGGTCATTTGGATCTTGTTGAAAATGAAGATTTCCTGAAAGATAAGAAATTTTGAGTACCACTGCCTATAATGATGTGTTCGCTTACCCAAAGTAATTCGCTGTTGTGACTGCGGTTGTGAAATCGGAGTTCCGCCGGCATGTCCAGAATCCAATGTTTCCATCTTAAAAACGCTTTCCTGCTAACATGTTCCTACTTACTTCCAACATCAAGATAGAAAGTATCAAACCTGAACGACGCTTACATGGGTGGTGCTACTCGTTGGTTGCATAGGACT